CGCTAGTTAGCTATGAAAGCGCATCTTTAGACAATAAGATTTCTCAAAGCTGTCAGAAAGGAATGTAAGGCATTCAGATATATTGGAAGGTAACTGTAATGACAACACTGAGGGTCACTTGGGCCACCTGATAAGCGTTTACTTATACACCGAAGCTGAGGAGCACTTGTTGCTGTAAGGAAAAACATTTATTTCGACAAAGCAAGTGAAAGACAAATTTTTTTATCCGTAACATGTGATGAACTAGCGCAGTACATTTCTAACAACCTGGTCACTTATGCTTGCCTGTCATGCAAACTACGTGTATTGTGACATAGAGTAAACAGGTTTAAAAAAATGATCAGTCCTATATGATGAATACTACATAGTATCGATCAGTTAGTTCAGTTGGGAAGAAAATTATAGTATACTAACCATCCTTGCGTCAGAGCTGATTTACCAAGTTCCGTTCAGTGTTGTAAAAAATTATTTTTGAATAAATGAAAGAGGCTCAAATTGCTTTTTGATTAGAGCTTCGAATGATCAAAGTATATGTTCTTGAATGGTTTCGCAAACAGTTGTGAAAGATACATATAAATCAACTTTGTTGCCTTTTTCGATATGTTTAGCTGTTGACGAAGTTGAATACCCGTTGTCTAGATTCGTCGGATCATTCGTGATTTGTTTTGTTGTAGCAGCTATTTTGTAATGTGCTATGTAACTCTTGTATGCATAGATTAATGACGTGTCATCCTTATCTCTGTGGGGTCACACGTATATGCAAACCAATAAACGCAGATGCATGTGACCTTATCGTTCAAATTTTGAGGGATTACAAGAGTACAAGTTACTTTTTCCCAATATCGTTGACCTATACTTCAGTGTATCCCTTAGATCAATGTTTGTTGGCCAGACTTTTTAATTCGCCCACACACGGAAATATGATACATAGATTTATCTTCGCAGCTGACTGAATAGTGGTCAGTAATTCGGTAGTGGTTAGTTAGTTTCAGGGGATTGAGTTTGCCACTGGATGGCATATAAGGTTTCATATTCCCGAAATGTACTAATCTATTACGTCACCTTACCACACCGCACCAGCTGCATGTAAAGACATAAAGATAGTCTAAGCGCTTAAGTGGATGACTCCGGGAGTATGTTTGAAATTCCCCCCGATTGCAGTTACTTCGCCATTCTTGAAAATAATGGAGAAGCTAATGATATCTGAGCTTGAACCCTATTTGAAAGTTTTTGGCGATCATAATTAGTCTGGATAAAAAATCAAAAGGAGCACTTTGGATACCATCACTGTCATATTGCTTATAATCTTGATAGAAATGCCAAGTATTTCAGGTGTGCCTTTTTACACCACACTTCAGTATTTGATTTTTTCCCAAGGCCTCTTTTGATGGACAAGCTAATCGCGACACACACTCAGTCCTGAATAATCAGCAGGTTGCATTCCTATCTCTCTGAAAGGAAACAATATACTGTTCACAGAAGGAAGCCATTCACCTCATTGCTTACAGTGACTGGTGTTCCCCAAAGAGTCGTCCATCCTCTGGTCTTTTCTCTTTCTTCATGAATTATTGTCTTCAGCTGATATCAATTTTATAAAATATGATGATGACCTGACAGTTTTTATACCTGTCTCTTCTTCAACAGATTGTTCCCAACTGAATGATTTCCTGTCTACCGTTAGAGGATGGATGGTCTTTCGTGAATGGTCTTATGATTAATTCTTCAAAATGTCAGACTATAAACTTAAGTCTCAGACGCGAAAAGGATTTGTATAAACCGTTCAGTTCCCATGATTCCTGTTTTATTGATAGTTGTATACTGGAGGATACTACCAGTATGATTTATCTCGGTGTGTGTTTTCCTTCAAAACTTTCCTGGTCCTCTCTGTCTTAATAATTTCCTAAAGAATCTTCCACCTAACTGATTGTATTAGAAATCTGAGAGTATCTGGTATAACTCAGCCTCTTCTTTTATGTTTTATAAACTCCTGTATCTTGCCTATATTCCAATATTGTTTCGTTTCATTCTGTCCTGGCTTGGTGGAAAAAGACTACTGTATTGCGTAGAACTTTGAGGTTTGTCAGTGAAACTGGTGGTGTACTTGTAAACTTTCTAATTGTGAAAGTGTTGTGAACAGAAATATCAACTCATGTTAGCATCTGTCAGGAGTTATTTTATCAGATAACCAACATCCACTTCACCCAAAAGTCTCTGCGTGTTGGTCATCAGGCAAGATAAGAAACAAGTATATACAACTCAATTAAGATGATACCAAATGTTAAAACTCTACAATACCGTATTTAGTTCGTATTCTGTGCGAGGAAGAAAGTGTCATAAGTGAACTAACTAATCAACTTTTGTTTCTTAAAACAAACGAAATAAAGATAACACAGTTTGTTGTTATTTTTGTATTATGAATATAATTGTGATTATTTACCGTACTTAACCCTACATTTTCAAAAACCTTGTAGATGGAGTAAATTTTCTTATCTTTTATATATAATTTATACTTATTTCATTTTACTGATGCTGTGTAACATGCTGAAGATTCACGAAATATCCTTTGAATATAGTTGAACAGACACATTAGAAATGATCAGATAGGTTCTAATTTTTTGTACATAATCTAGTCCTACAGGGGGTTTGCTGTTGCTTAACTTCATCGCTGAGTGATTTAGGACTACCAGTTTCCTCTTGATTGCATGTACGTCATACTGATAAAGACCAACAAGCGCGAAACTTAGGCCAGCAACTTTTGATATCGTTTCTTTATTTTTCTTGGCTTTATCTCCTTACTCTGGGTGTTCATTTTAGGTGTGATAACTTGGGTAGGGGGAGAAATAATTAACCGTGTTAGGTCTTATATTGTTTCTTTATACCCCTCTATTTATCCCACAGACAAGTGGAGATGGATTGGATTGGACATACATTGAGAAGACCAATTGGGAACATCACGCGCCAGACCACACCCTCGAGTGAAATCCGAAAGGGAAAAGACGAGTTAGGCGTCCCAGCTGAGGGTGACGTGGAAGAGATGGTGTGAGGAAAAAATGAAAGCTTGTGGGCAGTGGTGGAGCCAGGTTGAAAAGACTGCAGAGAAGAGAGTGCAATGGAGAAGTGCTACTGAAGCCTGTTCCTGTATTCGACTAGGAACCCAAGAGACAAATAATAAATAATGACAATAATTTATCCTACCGCCATATCCACCAAAAATACTGCTATTACTTGTTTATTATTACTTAATTATTACTATTACTTATAGGCTATGAATTTCAGTCACCAAAGAATAACTCTCCCTCAGAATCAATATCATTCAACCTTGGGAAACAATTTTAGAATCGATCGCAAGTGTGTTAAGGACATAGTACTCTTGGGTAAAGAATATATTTTTAAAAATCCAACCCTTTATGGAAAATACGAGAAAGCCTTTTTAATGTGAAAGAGAGAGAGTCGAGAGTAAAGACGAAGTATCTGCTTATATTCAATACAGATGGAAATTGCTTGCTCTTCTCATTGTGACATAATAGTCAATGAGGTAGAAGTATGCAAACCATTTCGATCAAGCCCGAAGACGCTAAAATTGACCTAATCGAGCCATTCATGATAGTATTGTTAACTGGTTTAGGACAGAACATGTTCCTTGTAAGCATGCATAAACGCCTTGCCAACAATAGGGAATTAATATGTATAATTATATTGCCATTCAGTTCCAGAAATGTCATTTTCTGCCAGCTGGTGATTTACATGATATACCAAACAACGGTGCCATATTTTCACAAGAATATTACTCTGTGACTAATTACTAGACTTCTTGGCTTGAGTAGGATGATCGATTTGCATTCAATTTACAAATTGCATCGTCCAGGTTGATATTTCCCACAACTGAGTACTTCTTCAACTGCCCAACTGTGGTCTCAACAGAGTTTCCTCTGGAAACAACCCACTAGCTATTATCACAAGGTGTGACCTCTGACACAATAGTGTGTGAACTGAACAGTTTAAGTGGTTAGATACCACTTAAGTTGTTTAGTATTAGTATGTTAAGTTCTAGGATACATGAACATGCTCATTTGAGGCTTATTGATACTGATATTTACGAAGAGACTGGTCCCGACGAATAGCTGGTATCTTGACATGGTGGTCACGTCTATGTATCACAATGACCCAATGAGCTATGCTGGTGGGACGCTTGTCCCCTTGAGGTCCTAACATGCCAGAAAGGTCTATTGGATAGTGGTTAGATAGAAAGCGGTTAATATTATTGTGTATATTGCGAAGCTGCGATATGGGTCTTAGGGCGAAGTCGTACTGCTGACTGGATGGGGATTTGACAGCAGTAAGTTGTTTTCCTAGGCTGACCAGGAGTACCATGTTGGTGTTACCTTTGCTATGGGAAGTGGGGGGGGGGAAAGGTAGGTCCAAAAAGTAGCACACTCCCACCCCACACTACATAACAATGGCTTCAACATGGATCCCAAACTTGCCGGCCTCAAGTAGACGTCCTTTAGGCTCTGCAGTCACACATCATCCATTCTTTTTCAGCTACCTAAAGAAGAACTAGACTTCCACGGTGTGGGCAGCCGGGAAGTGTCGACCGTCCGCACACTCCCAGTAGTACATAAGACCTAGAGATTGTTTTTAGTATTAATTAAACACGACAGACAGCATTTAGAAAAAGATGGTTGGACAAGTATAAGGCGATGAAGCAGTTAAGTTGCATAGCTGATTGGCAAATACATACTAAACTGACTAAACTGTCATGATATCGATGGGTGTCTATTCGACAGAAGCAGCAATAGAGTAGTAATCACATGATACCTATATATATCTTAGATTAAAAAATCCTACACTGTGAGACCTGAGAACTGATCCTTTAGTCAAACCAACAGATACATTGATTTTAAAAGGTCATTAATATGAACGGCATCTATGAGAAACTGATCCTTAGTATAGTATATTTATCAGTTAATTCCCGAAATATATGATAAAAAAGCACTGACCTCTTCCATCGGGATTTCCTCCAAGGGTATGTCAGCATTGACATTATTCGCATGTAGTCCATTTGAATCATCAACTTTCTTAGGGAAAACAGTCCTTATCAAACATGCCATAATTCTATGTACACAAAATCAAAATGATTACGGATGATAAGTCTAATACGAGAATACAAGCACCAATAACAATGGCAACCAATCAAAATCAGATAAAAAAATTAAATGTTCATTTAAGTGTAATTTGAATGGTTTACCAATTAATGTTCAAAGAAATTTTAAGAATTGACCAATCAGTGTATAGTGGCAACAAAATGTCTAATTGTGTTTCAACCAATACGTATTTCTCTGTAAATCAATTTCTCACTTACCCCAATCTTGTACTAGAAATTTGAAATTGTGCATAGGGAATCGATTTCCTACCAGATGATAATAATAATAATAATCATATATTTGAGATGAATGGGGATTTTCAATTTAGAAGTAGTATTCATCATGGACTGACAACGTCCCATACTAGGGCGAAACAGCTGTCCGGTGCTCCCAGATTTTAAATGGTTCCCCAACTGATGTCAGTCCATGATCAATACTACTTCCAAATAATAATAATAAATCGATAAACAAATAAATATAAAACCGTGATGCTCTAATATCGAAACTTAATTCATCTACAGGAAACGGATCGTACGGTTGTCTTATCAGTTTTTCTGCTTTTTTGCTGATGAACAAAACTTACTTCGTAAGTATGGCGACAAGCAGATTTAGCTAAGCCGAACATCGATGAGGTGGCTCATCATGAAAATTTTCAAAGCATTGGAGAAACACCCATCTGATTACCTAATATTTCAATGAAACACATCTGCAGAAATTTACCCAACAACAAGTAAGGATTTGCTCACATCTAGTTCCATTGTAATTTCTATAATTTCTACATATTGTCCTTGATATGTGTGACACCGCTGTTTTTTTTAAACGTGTACTTTTTTTGATCCGAAAGGTGTGGGACTGTCATCAAACAACACCTGCCGTCTCATTTTTATCCTGAGTAGTTGAGAACAAGATAATCAGAAACTTGTTTACCAGTATCGCTTTCGAATAAATGTGCTCAAGAAATTTTATGACTGGAAGAGGGGTCAAGTTGTAATGCATTTTCGATAAACGTAACACGTATAACAGACGTCGGATAATTCAACCCAGTGCAACGACGGGAAATGATGAGTATCAAAACAACAACTGATACCCGTTGCACAAGGGGTGGCTAACATGCCCCAGTGGATAACGCCTTGGATATTGAACCGGTGGGTGCTGGGTTCTGACCTCAGTGGGAACAACTCCAATTGCTGTAATACAGGCAGATCTAGGTGATGAGTTCCAAGCAATAACAGAGGCACTTCCTGAAATTTACCACTAGCAACCAAGTAAACTGTAACTTGATCAAAATATTCAGCCACTATCAAGACATCCTCATAGGAGCCCATCTGCCAATAGGGGTCGAGTAATTCAATCCAGTATAACAATAGGATATTAAGAGTATCAAGTAAATAAGTGATGCAGCTTCATTTTCCATACTCCCTTTTAGCATATTCATCTCCAAAAAGGCTTATATGTGCGAGTTGTGCTGGGAAAATCCATACTGACGTCGTGATCATATAGAGGCTGATCGAAGAATGTTTGGTTATCAGACTAGACATCAACTGAGTTCATTTCATCTTGTGTGAGTATTTAAAAATGTACGTTTATTCATTCATCAGTGCTAGACCTAGGCATCATCTCAATCTGATACCTGGAGAGGGACCATGGGTGCGCAATGCTGACGAGTGTCATACTACGAAGAAATAGTTGTTCAGAGCTTCAAGGTTTTTAATTTTTCTCCAACTCCGCAAAACAGTGTTTTCACTGAGTTATACAGTTTGATACTTCGCTTTTCTAAAGACTTTCTGGAAATCCATATTATCAGATTTACTGAAGATACGGGTGATTTTTGGAATGGGTATCACTTTGTATTGAGTGCAACCAATTTCATGTTGTCTAATCCTGAGTGCAGACCGAATTCTATCAATCATCTTTACAATGTGGCAACCAAGCTAGGAAGCTCAGCATCGCGGTGCATATTAGCAGATGTTAGTTGGTTGGAGGTAATCGGTAGGAAGCCCTGGCTTAGGTTTCGTGCTTTTTTGCACTCGTCAGCAAGGTGTATCTGCAACCTCGAAGGAACTGATGTCCCGTCTGAGATTCAAACCCGTATGACTTTATTTTCGTCAAAAACCACCAACTTTACAGCTGCACCACTGACTACAACCAGTGGTGAGTTCGTTTTCGAGATACAAGTGGTTTCATTCATTTCTTCAATCATCTCAAGCTAGTTTTGCAGAACACCACGTTTGTTTCCGAAACACTTCAAAACCAGAGGTAGTCATCGTCTGTTTCATTAGAGTTTTATTAGATACTGCTGTCTTAAAATAGCATATGGCCTTCAGGTATTCAACAATATGATTTGATGAGAAGAATATGCAAGTAAAGGTTGCATGAATATCATGCCAAGGAGTTTGGTTAACCTGTCTTCAGGGAAACAGAATGCTCCCCTTCTGCTCAATGACTAGTCTTAACCCCCTATTATCCCTCCTATTAATCAAAGGGCTGACGTAGAATGTTTCCCTCCGATCGATACCAAGCCTTTGTTTACTTCACATTGAAGGAATGTTTCTCACAGGAAAGAAAGTAAGAAAGAAAAGGTGGTTATCCCACTCAGATGAAAATAAATTTCATTTAGTTTATTTTAAAGCGCAAAAATCTTTGGGAACAAGGTGTAGAATACAGTAACATTTTTTATTATCATTGTACTCAAGGGCATTTTACTTCTAAGCCTCCGCTCGTAATTATGCGTAAACAAAAAGCAACTGTTTCATACTAATTTAATTTGATCTAATCTGTTAAAGGAGGATCGGTTAGTTTTATGAATCAACCAGTAGTAGTGATTTCTACGCAGCTGTTTCGTCTTATTATAGAGTTCCTCAGCTGTGGGTACCCACAGCTGTCGAGTTCCCCAGGATTTTCAATGACTCTACAGCTGATGTCAATCCATGATGAATGCCATCATGACTTCAAAAGTGTTTTCCAAATTAATTAGAAGAAACTTCTGCAATCCTCTTCAGGTTTTGAGTTTAGCAGCCTGTCGTAGAGGTTTAGATATAGATTGACTGAAAGTGTAAATTTTTAGTTAGGAGAGCGAGAATTCATATCATTAAGCTCATGCTGCGAGATGTTCTCGACCTTCTTCAGACTTTACAAGCTAGTTGATACTGTAACCATCAGGGAAATATTCAGTACTGACATCACACTTTAAGGTACGCAAGTCATCTTTACTTTAACAACATAGACGAACGTTATACCGTGAGCACACCACCATAACCATTTCTGTGTTATGAACCGGTTATGCATCAATATTTTGACTTAATCTCCAACTAAGTGATGGATAGACACCTTTACTAAGCACGGATTAAACGTCTGATGGTATAGTTTATTTTCATAGGTTAAAAGCACATCCCAAACATATTCAAATTGTGGCTGCGTCTCTTGAGTAGACTTTGTATCTCTTTAGCATGTTCAGCAAGCAGGATTATATCGTCTCCATACTCTATGTCGACTAAGGAATGTCGTGCAAGAGGGTTAAACAAGTAGAGTCTGACCTTTGCGACAAAAACTACAGGAAGGTCAAGTAAAAGTGGTGAAAGTAGACATTCTTGTCTGACATAGTAATATTAACACTAGTGGCATATTGTATAATTGTGTCAGCTGAGACAGTCTCTGAGGTTACCAGTGAATTTGACTGATCTTTGCATAACTTCAGCTATTGCTAAATAAGATTTTGATAGGAAAACAGACAATTTTCCAAATTCATTTTTATTCACAATTAGGTGGAAGGTCACTGATTCCGAGTTCATAAACAACTACTCCTTCCACATGTCCGAACAGATGCAATCTCAAGAGATGCTAATTACCTAACTCAAGTCATTATTATGGGAAATACAGCAGCTGACATGACCCAAATAGAACGAAACGCTCATCATAGATCCCACTGCTAGCCACTATCCATCATCAGTATCAAAGTCAAAAATACGGGCAATATCGAGGCCATCGTACAGGAGCCCGTAGCTGCTGTTCAATTCGGTCCAATCATTGACGGATATTTACAAGCCATAACGTCAAAACATTAAAACACTATTTGAATGTCTTCAAAGGTAATGATCATCACTTAGAAGACAGTCAAGCTAAAGCGGTTTGTTTTTCCAACTACTATTCCGAAGCATATCTTCATATCACTGTTTATATCTTCAAAAACAAACCAAGCTTTCAACAAAGCAGATGAAGTTTCATTTCTAGACATAAAAATCAAGCAGACTGAAATCAGCTTAGTGAATCGGCTGATAAATAATTTAACTTATGTTCACGACTGTTTATTATAAGATTCAGGAGAATCATCGAATCAAAAAAGAAATTGCTAAGAGGAACAGAACAGTTTTAAATGTTAGCAACTGAAGTTGCAAAACCCAACAGATGACTTAAAGTGAGCAGAAGTGTGTTATAGGAAAAGGCACTGACATTGAAAATAGTAGTTAAAGTAAACAACTAAGCAGCGAGAAGTATCTATGTAACCTGAAGGGTTGCTCTGTCAACGACATGGTATCTCTTTGCTCCATATACACTAACGGTAAATTAATATTATAGAGCTATAAAAGTGTGCAAATCCATAAGGAAGCAAAAGCGATAAATCACCAGTTAAAGAAAAGTTTCTGCACACTTCTTCATGAAGTGCTCATTGCTTCACAACTGAAGTTCTCTTCAGAGGTAAAAGGTGTAATATCACTTTAACGGTTTCGGCACATCAAAGACAGTGTATAGTGAAAAATTCGAGTGAACCGTAGAATCATTTAATCATCTTTGTAAGTTAAATTCTCTTTCAGAGATATTGAGAACTTACATTTGAAGGGAGTGACCTCTGAAACCTTTTAAGTTGTACTACTGTTTTAAGTATGGACATTAGTGTTGAGAAGTAGTTTCAGGCAACTGTACATTTTTGCCACGATGTCTTCAAGAATAAGCATGTTCAATGAAGTGTCGAC